GCCATCGAGTCCATCCCTACTGCTGGCGAGCCCATGGGACAGTGGAACTGCCCAGGAGAGCTTGCAGTAGCTCTCTAAGGAGTGGAAAGAAAACCGTGTCTTTCTTCCGCGCGGAGAGGCTCATAGCCACTCCAACGTGGAATCCCACGGAGAGATGACCACACCAGAACTCCCAACCCAGTAGATTGGACGCCCTGCCAATGATAATTTGCATTTCCGCCCCAGGGAGCTGAATCAGAATCTACTTTTTGACAAGATTCTCAGGTGATTCTTAACTGCACAGAAGATTCACCTGGACATCCTGTCAAGCGGTACATAGATTCTGATTCAGTCTTACCTGGGGTGGAAATGCAAATTATCAGCCGGGGAACTAGTTCAAAGCCCTGCTCCAAAACTAAGCCAAACTCCTTGCTACCACTTCAATTCCTGCTCCCAGTGACCCTATAGGATGCAGTAGAACTGGGTTTCCAGTTTTCTCCTACAGAATGCCTGGTGGGTTTGAACCACTTACCTAGCGTTAGCAATTCACTGCGTAGATCACGACTGCCACCAATTAAAAAACCAAACTCACTGTCATGGAGTCATTGCTGACTTACATGAACCCTATAGGGCAGAGTAGAATTGGCCCTGTGAGTTTCCAAGAGAGTAACTTTACTGGAGTAGAAAGCCCACCAGGGCTTCGTAAAGCCCTGCTCAAAAAACAGCAACAATGAAAAAGTCACTTTTGTGAGTCGATTCAAACTCAGTGTCCCAATAGGGTAAGGTAGAATTACCTTTGGAGGTTTTCTGAGCAACTAGGGGAGTAGAAAATCGCACGGAGAGACTAGTGGCTTCAAACTGAGTTTAGCAGCCCAATGTTTACTACTCCAGCAGTATAAACCATGACCGGGTACTGTCAAATCATATTGTTCTTTCCATCCATGTCGCAGCCTTTATTTTAGGGTAGTTAGAAATCTTCAGAAGATTACCTACCTTGACACAGGAAGGGAGGGAGCCAAAAGAAACTAGGGGTCACTGTAGACATTTTTAAAGATTAATTTATTTACTAATTCTACTTCAAAAAACAAAAGCATAAGCAAATGTGGTGAAGAAGGCGGATGTGTCCGCCTATTAAAAGCTATAGCGTCCGGGGTCTTAAAGGCTTGAAGTTACACAAGCCACCATTCAGCAGTGAAGCAACAAGTCCACATGGAAGAAGCACACC